AAAAAGAGAGCAAATAGTGTGCTTCCATCTGCATTCAGACTCCATAGTTCTTTCTCTGGATACGGATAACATTTTCAATCAGGAGTCTTTTGGAGTTATCTTAGATCCTTGCATTGCTGAGACGAGCTAAGTCTATCAAAGTTATTTTCTGATAGCCCATCAGACACACCTTTATAAAACACCTACTATGTACCATGTGTGTCCCATGTAACTAATAAGTTCTTAATGCGCCTTTTTTAAGTATTTCTCCTTCATGGGGGTTTTATTTCTTTGAACTGGGTAAATGCTGGGAGCCCTGTGAACAGTGCTGCCAGATTAGGTAGGTTAGCAGCTAGGAGGTACAATGGATAGAGCACTGGGCCAGGAATTAGGAAGACCTGAGCTCAAATCTGACCTCAGACACTTCCTAGCTGTGCAAGTCATGTTAACCACTGTTTGCCTCAGTTTCCTCATCTGTAAAATAGGGATAATAATAACAACACTTTCCTCCTATGGTTGTTGTGAGGATCAGGTAAGATAATACTTGTTTAAAAAAATACTTAGCACAGTGCCTGGCACATCATAAGTACCATATAAATGTTAGCTATTATCATTATTAGTTAGCAGACCTGACAAGCATCTGTGCCTGTGATGGGTCATTATGGTTTATTACATGCATTGTTGAGATTGAGCACGTCATAGTGAAAAATGTCTCCAGCTTTGGTATAGCCAGGGGTAACAGAGTTCAGCATCTCCCCTCTCTGCCCCACCCCTCCCCATCTCCTGAATTCTCACCAGCTCTAGTGAGCCAGGTAAGTGTGAGCCTGGTCAGTCCCCAGGCTGGCACCCTCAGAGGCTGTTTATTGTTGGGTTGCATTTGGGTTTTGTTGGTGCACTCGGGTTTTCTGTTTTGGTACAGCAAAGACTTTGAGGAGATAAACAGAGATCATTTTACACCTTTTCTATTATGACAAATACATATTGCGAAACATCGCCGCTTCCCAAATGTTTGTGTTGCAGAGTGGCGAGGAATTAACAGCTATGCGGCTCCCTCAGAAGCATGTACTTCATTTACACATCAGAATTTTTTTGCACTGCTCAGTAAAATAAAACTGAGAAGAAGGAAAAAAAAACCATGCACACCCCCTTCTCCCT